ACGGAGAAGAGGCTGGCCTCATCCTCTGGACGCCCTCCCTTCAGATACTTGTAGATATTGAGGAGATCGCCTCTCAAGTCTTCTCTTCTCCAGGCTGAACGGGCCCAGCTCTCTCAGCCTTTCTTCAGAGGAGAGATGCTCCAGTCCCCTCGTCATCTTGGTAGCCCTCCGCTGGACTCCCTCCAGTAGTGCCATGTCTCTCCTGTACTGGGGAGCCCAGAATTGGACACAGGACTCCAGAGGTGAGGGCTCCCCAGGGCTGAGTAGAGGGGCAGGATCACCTCCCTCCACCTGCTGGCCACGCTTTGCCTAACGCACCCCAGGATCCCCTTGGCCTTCTTGGCCACAAGGGCACGTCGCTGGCTCATGCTTGACTTGTTGTCCACCAGCACTCCCAGGTCCTTCTCTGCAGAGCTACTTTCCAGCAGGTCAACCCCCAGCCTGTCCTGGTGCCTGGGGTTATTCCTCCCCAGGTGCAGGACCCCGCACTTGCCTTTGTTGAACTTCAGGAGGTTCCTCTCCGCCCAGCTCTCCAGCCTGTCCGGGTCCCTCTGAAGGGCAGCACAGTCCTCTGGTGTGTCAGCCCATCCCCCCAGTTTCGTATCATCAGCAAACTTGCTGAGGGTGCACTCTGTCCCGTCCTCCAGGTCATGGATGAATACACTGAACAAGACTGGACCATGGTCATCTACTACGTTATAAGTAATACTTTGAATTCTTCCTTTTGACTAGCTGTTACTTAGGTGGCTTTAATGTGATTGAAACTTAAATGGCTTAAACCATTTCCAAAAATCGCATTGTACTTTGGTTACTTTTTTCTGGACTGTTGGGATAGATGTGGCCTAATGCATTTGCTAGCTCTCATATCCGGTGAGGTCAAATGTAATGATCCAAACCCTTCTTTTTGCTTATAAACTAGTACCAACATGATCCAACACTAGGACGTAGGCAGAATTTGTTTGTGTTATAACAGTTTTCCTGTCTTGCATGTACATTACTTGAATTAGGTTATGATTTGATGTGTTTCTGAAACTGTTAATAGTTGACACTAAATAGGCTAACCTAGTAATTCTTCTTCTTGATGCTGGAAAGAAGTTGAGAAAAAGCTAATCACAAGCTCTTAAATAAGTGTTCTCTTAGATTTAACTTCAATAAGACATTCTCTTGTAAAGAGAATGGTTTTTCCTATTGCCAGATATTCCTCCTTTAAAAAGCATGATGGAGAATGTTTAACTTACAGATGCTACTGCTACAGCTTTCTCTAAGCTTGAGAACTGCTCATATTGCACACCTTAGTCAAACTGTTCTTCCTATCCTGAAGAACAGCACACTAGAATCTAGGCCCATGTTCAAAATGTAGTCACAATGTGTTTGGTTTATCTACCAGACATCAGAAAACACCCTTCTGCTAATCTTGATGAGCCTTAGAATCTAGAAATGATCATTTTCATGACTCTGAAGGTGTTGGTTTGTAGTCCAGATGTACCAAGCTAATTTGGAAGAGAGCGGTAAATCCAAGCAAATTATCCTTGTACAAGGAATAAACTAGATGTCATTAAGTAGCATCATGTTTCTCAGTGGCAGCTCTAGTACTCAGATTATTTGACTTTGCAGAGTCCTTAACAGGTAGCAGTTGTAGAAGTCTAGCTAGACAAACAAAATGGCTCACACCCCCTAGTCTTTCTTTATGCTACTTGTTTCCCTCCAGATTGCAGTTCTTAGTTTTGAGGGTTGCTTCTGCTGGACTCCTCATGGTCTCTTAATGACAAACAGCATTTGTTAATGCTACCCGCTGCTGCGACACCATAATTCAATGAATTGTAAAATTGGAAAGGTTTTTGTAACTCTTCCAATACCTAAAGGCATCTCTCATGGAGAAGACTCATGTAAGGGAGGACTGTTCTAGGAAAATAAGATACTTCTCACTTGCCTCAGCTGTAATGTGGTTGGGAACAAATGACCAATATCTGGTTTGCAGCTTGTGTTGTGAGAATGTGAGTTTTCCTTGGAAACGGTTCAGTTAGCTGCTTATGAGAAGTAAGCATCTGTGTGAAGTTTTCCTCTTTGAGGGTGGTAGTACTTAAAAATGCTTAATTCTTAAAAGAAATCTCCTACTGGAATAGGCACTATATTTGCCCCAGCTCACAACGATGCCAGAGTTCTGATTGAGCAAAACTACTACTGCTTTTCAAAAAATAAGAAGCAGTATTTCTAACAAGAGCAAAACATGAAAGCCTTCATTATTAGTGTTTTCTATCATTAGAAATGATAATAGCATTGAAACTTTCCCTGCTTAACAGCAAACAGCTATGTATTTCTAAAAATTTAGACCTCTTGTCAGAACATTAACTTATGTTGAAATCCTGATATGGACTTGCGTTCAACTTGCATCGAAGAGTGAACAAAATTGGAAGGTGGTCTTAAAAGAAGCACTGGTTCATTGCCTGGGAACACTCTGGAGTTCTGTTAGTGCATGAGTAGAACAATTCACTCTATAGGTATTATCTTTAAGTTAGTAACAACACCTTCCAGAACTAACTTGAATGTATTTTTTTAGAGTAAGCTTAAAAAATGCGCTTCTCAAATGGAATTTTGAGTTATTGTAAGGGAGGAAAGTGTTATGTCTGAGCTACAAGCATGTAAAATCTTAAAGCTAAATGTGAATTTGGTCTACATACGCTACCTTTTTGGGCACACTGTGGCAGAAACTCTTTGCCACTGTAAGCCTTTGTAAGAAAGTTAAATGCTTGGTCTTGCTAGTTTTGTGCGTCCAGTGAGGAACAGAACACTGAAGGAAGTAAAGCTCATAAATGCTATTCTTTTTTTTTAAGTGAAGACTTAAGTTTGTTTATACCCCTCTGCGCTTTAGTTCTCTGCAGGAAAACTGCAGGTGTGTCAAGGTTAGTGGATCAGTCAGAAATCTTACTTGGAGATGCTTCCAATTAATGTTTAACTGCTATACCAAGAGGAAAGCAGGACCCAGGTTTGGATACCTAAAGAGGTCCTTGAGATAAGGAGAGTAGAAACTGAGCTCCAAATAGCTCAAGAAGACATCTAGCATGTCTTCAATATGTACTGTGTGTTAAGTACCAGTGTTTCAGAGCTGGACTGGGTCTCCTCTATCTGATGTTCCTTATTTTTTTGTCAGTAAGCACTTTCTGGCCTTAATCTAGTCTCTGTTGTCCTCAATGTCTCTATTTACTTTAAAGTTGCTGCAATGTGGATCCTTAGGTCTGTTCTACTGATATTTGACTGGAATATGTAACAACCTTTCACCAAAAAAAGAATTTGCTCTTAGTCTAGGGTACAGAAGGGAAAGAAGAGAACTACTGTCTGTCTTCCAGGTTGGTATCCTTTCCTCATTATGCCAAGTCCCTAAATGTGGAAGATGATTTCCTTTCTGTCAAGTGACTCTTAAAGGTGTGAGGCGCAGCTGGCCTTGTAGAGATTTCGTTAAACTTGAAAATGGCCCTGGTCTAGCAATCGTTATAGCTGCACTGTTACTGATACTACGTGTAGGAAGAACATTGAACACTAACTCCTATACAGAACAAGCTTGTCCTAGCAGAGTTGTATGAAGCAGCATTCCCAACTTCTAATATGCATGAATATAGTTTAATAAGCCCAATAAGTAGGACCACAAAATATAATGGTAGTAACAAATCTAACTAGTTTAGACTTAGTGCAAGTTTTCTGTAACACGTTTGTCTATCAAGGTTGCTGCCTTACTGAGATTCACTCATGGTCGACAAGGGAAATTGGTCATAAGCATTGCTAACATAGGTTATCTTTTTTGACAGAAGTGTCCAGGATGGGAAAAGAACCAGATGCTGTACTACCATAAAAAGCCTATATATAAACACTAACTCACTAGAGCTAGAAGACTAGCATATTAAATGAACTGTATCATTTAATATTGCAAACTAACTCCTAGCTTATATTACAGTCTTTACATGATGCGTTTACACTGTTTGACCCACTAATGTCAAAACTGCTTGTAGTTTCTAATATTAGGTTGAAGTGATGGATCATAAGCCTTGAACATAAATCTGTATACAAGTTCAGGGCTTTTTGTGTTGTAAGCTGTCTGTGGCATGGGTTCATTGTTAAGCAGCTGATATAGGAATTGGTAATACTTTTATTGTTTGATTTAGAAACCTAAAGTTTCATTTAGAAACCAAAGTAAACTAGGAAGTGTGCTTAGCCATGCTTTTGCATTATAGATACTTAAGCTGTAGTGCTTTTTTCTTGTGGCTTTTAATTAGGAATAGCTGTGATCTCTTTAGTAAGAGCTATAACTTCTAGAACAAGAATCTAAATGTAGTTGCTTAAACAAGCTTGTGCAATCTCTTGGACTGAATATGTCTACAACAAACTTAAGTGTAAAAGCTCCACAGGACTGCATTAACTCCTTGCAATATACAGCTTGTGAAATCTTATTAGAAAATTGGTGGCACAGACCCCATACCATAAGAGTTGACAGTTACTGTGGTCTTATACACAAGTATTCTGTTTTGCTTTGTGGTGTCTTGCTTCTAGGCCTTAATGATATGGCAGTAAGTGTGCATGTGTGTCTCAGACTTCTGTAGAAAACCTGGAGACAGATGAGGCAGTAAAGTTGATGTTAATGTGACTTGATGCTCCTGTGTTGATAAGGTATTACTATATTAAATTATTCTTCATATTAAAGGCACTAATGAGGTAGGTCCTGAACTATTGCTTAAGCACTTAAAGCTGGTAGTTATTTAACTTGGGCTGAGTGAAAGAGGAACAGAAGCATGTGAGATCTAAAGTTGTCTCACTACACTTTTTTTTTTCCCCACAAGGTCACTGAAAGTAGTCATGTGCAGTAGCATCTGCTTTGGTTTTGTACCGTACTTGTGAACTCCAGTTTGAAACCAGTACTGATCATATGATTTTTATTTCCCACCTGGTATCTGATTTGTTTTCATAGCACTCTTTATAGGAGTTGGCTGACATACAACTTTTTCTTTTTTAAGGTATTTTCAAGAGGAATAACTCAAGATTAATGGATGAAATTTTAAAACAGCAACAAGAACTCTTGGGACTAGATTGCTCCAAATACACAGTGGAATTTGCAAATCAAGACAAAGCTGATCAAGGTAAGATGAGTTGGGGGATTGGGAAGAAGCTGCACAAGCTAATATGAATTGGTAGTTGTGCTTTTACTTAAACGCTTTCCTATATTGTGACCCTTCTCCATCAAGCACTGTCACAACACTCAACACTTCTGGGCTAGAGTTAAACTTTTTTGTTTTAAGCTTTTTCTGCTCATAACTGTAGTAAACAAGGTGTCACTTCCCATAGTTGGATCTTCCCTTAGCCTGGCCCTAGTGCCACTGACCCCCTCAGTGCATCAGTGTACCCAATTCTTTACTGGTTCGGTGAGATTAACTGACCTGGTGCTTGAAAAAACACTGGAGTTACTGTAAGAGAACTTGATGTCAGGTTAACAAACACCTCAGTCTTCCCAACTTAAGCTAATACCTCAAAGATGACAAGGGAAAGAGCGAAACTGCTATTGTCATGACAATGTATAGTGATGCCAAGAGGGAAGAGGACTTAGGCAGAAAGTGTTATGTTCTGTCTTAGAAGGTTTACATGAGGCGGAAGTAGAAAATGGGATTATTTCTTTCAAGGTTTATGTTCCTTGTTCAATGCTATCTGTAGAAAGTGTTTGCTTCTCTTACTGAAGTACACTAACAATAGAAATCTGTTTAAAATGTAGTAAATAATAAACATGAAGTGTACTTACTAAAGTAGGCCTTTATCTTAAAGGGATAGCCTGATACCATATCTCTTTTGATGGCCATTCTTAATATTTAATAGAACTTGAGTCATGTTATGAGACCTAAGGTGATCGTGTTACAGACTTCTAATCCTTGAGCTAGACTTCATAAGCTGTAGTCCATTTAGCCACATTTAAGACACTACTGGGTGAGTTGTTGATTGTTTTGCTTCCCCTGCAAGAATTGACAGGACAGTGTGTGATCCTTTGTGCCAGCTTTTTACACAACACCACTCAATTTTGTGCTAAACTCACCTTTGTAAGCAATTTAGACTAAGGTACTAGCATTTACATGGAAGCACTTGAGTTTCACGTTCTTTTTCTTTATTCTTCTATGAGGGTTGAAATAACCAGCCGAGATCCAAGTAGGGAGGCCATTAATGTCAAATTCTAGCATACGTAGCTGTACCTACTTAAATCAGGATATTCATATCCCCTTCAAATGAATTTGTGAAAGGCTCCTCAGACTTGCTTACTGAAAAAAAGAGATGTTTAAGTCTCAATCTTTTTGTTCTGGCAGTTATGAAAAGCAGAGGCATCTTCCGTTCTCTTTGGAATTCTTCATTCTTGCATAGAAGACACCGCAGTCAGACCAGAAACTTCATAACTTTAAACTGAAAAGTTGAAATTAAACCCCCTGCGATTATGCCCTTTTGCTTTCAGAAAAATTGAATATCTAGCATGCTTATGTCCTATCATACAGAAATATTCTTTAACATAGAGCAGATTGACAAATCAAGTGATCTCAGAAGAATAGAGATGTCTTCATTGTGGTTATCTGGATAGAATAACTTTAGTTTTATGTTGTTGATGTTCTTATGCTTTCAATTGCAGTGAATTTAAATACTTTCTCTTACAACAATATTGCTCCCTTTTTTCAGTGCACTCTTCCCTAATCTTGGTGTAAAGAAGGGAGTATAGGGAATCTGTGCATCACTCTCCAATTACCAGCCCACAGCTGCACCAAATGATATCAGTTATTTCTAGGACAGAGCAGATATTCTTTAGGTAGTCTCTAGAAAAGTTGACTTTGAGATGAAACTCAATTCTACTAGAGTTTCATGGTGCTCCCTGAATTTAAGGTATTATAGGGATTCATTATGAGTGGAAGGCCTATATTTCCTGCGTAGACTCCATCTCTTACAGCCCTAGGTTCTCAGGAGTTGATAGGCCAGCTGACAAGTCTGGGTTTGTCCATGAAATGATTGCAGTTAAGGAACTTAAAATATTCTGTCACCCCTTGCAGGCAGGTTCTGCAGTTTTAAGAAATGCTATTTTTGAAAAAACTGCTTAGTGAATACTATAACTAAAAATGCTGGACCTGTGTGTTAATGTGGTCTGTTATGCACACACATCCAAAGTACACTAATAGCATTAGTGTTTAACATAGTTATTTCGAGCTGATATTAGTACACTGGTTACTTGTATACTTCAGCTTGCATGGTAAATTTACCTCTCGAGTACCTTGTCAAAACAGGCAATAATGCAAAGTCATGTGGCAATAGTCTTACATCTCAATAATATTGGCACTAGTAAGGTTATGAAGTGTCCTCTGTATGTCACAGACCGTTATACTTCCAGATTAATGGATGAATTCTGGTATTGTTACCTGTTTCCTAGCTTCTCTGTAGGCATCTTGAAGATCAATGTTGTAACTCTTGCATCAATTTGAAATCTTGCTAAAAAGATTCTGTAACTGTGTTCAGGGTGGGCTCCTGCTTAAAGGTTCTGTCACATGAGTATTCAAAATAGCTGTTAAAGATACAACTTGTTTTGCGTAGGATATAAATTAAGACTTTTTGTTCTTGCCTGAATTGTGTAAGTATTTCTGTATTGTTTGCCACCCCCAAGTCGCTACCTAGGCACCTTCTCACTACTTTCCTGACAGCATGAGAGCCAATGCTGTTTTCCTGGAGCAGTCCTTCCATGCTGAGTCTGACATTGGTCAAGCCACTTCTCTCAAAATCCCTCAAATAGTTGCTTTAAACTTGCTCATTAGTAATGCAACAAATTGAGAAGACTGAAACCCACTTCTCTAAGAGATAGATACCTGTGAATAGTGTATAATATGCAAAGTAAATTATAAGCTTTTCAGTCCCTTCCTTTGAATATCTAAAGTTCACATTTGAAACAACATACTCCTGTTGCTTTTAAACTGTGTTTTGTACTTTCAGTTTTAAATTGCCAATCTACATTGAAGGTGCTGTCTCCTGAAGATGGAAAAGCAGACATAATAAAAGCTGCTCGAAACTTTTGTCAGTTGGTGGCAGAGCAGCAAAGAACACATGCAGACCTGGATGTGAATGTGTTAGACAACTTATTAAGTAGTAAGTATGATATGATCCAAGGGGAGGAAGGGAAGAAATAATCAGATCATAACTCATCTGGTCCCTGGTGTGTTTATTGCCTAGAACATGTTTATCTTGACTTGCAGTCTATCAGGGTAGATAATGATCATAGCTTCTAGAGTCTGATAAAACTTCTCCAGACCAGTGTGTTTGCTTCTTCTATCCTAAAAAGTTGGAAAGGAAGCAGTAAGTTAAACTGGAGAGGGTCTTATTTCAGTGTTCAACTTCTGTGGGATGCTCTGTGGTGAGCTTTCTGAAGAGAGTACTAACTGGAATCGGTCAAAAGTAGGCTGTTCTACCTTGCAAGTTAGCATCATGCAAACCTGGGTGTGGGCTGAGATCCAGATCTAGTTGTAGTAGTTGAAGCTCTTGCAGCTGCCTAGCTATGACCCCAACTGTGAATGACAGAGCGCTTGCTAATCTTTTGCTGCTGTATAACCCACACTAGCTTAGTTATCTTCATTACTAATTCATACAGATTGCTGACTCTGCACTGAAGTGCATGGCTATGTGCAATAGTGATGAGGCAGGGCAGCCCTAATCTCACGTGCAAGAGAATAGTTTAAAATACAACCTTTGCTTCCCCAGCAGTGCAAGGGGTTTGGAGTACTCTGCTTTCCTAGGTGACCCACACATGTTACTTGCTGCTGTAATTAGCTTAGGCAGGATTCATGTTTCGGGTAAGACACTTATAAAGTGCCTGCAGACAGCTAAGTTTAATAGTGTGGCTTCTATTAATTGGAGTTTGGAGTGTGTGTGTTGGGGGGGCTGTCTGCTTAAATGGCTGGTCAGCTGGATTGTTCTCTAGATTCTGACTGCAGTGGGAGCTTAGACGTTCCAAGTAGGTCTTTCATCTTAGATTGAATTCTACCCGTGATGTCAGTATACTGCATGATTCCTTCTTACTGTAACAGTTGTTAGTGCAGGAACTGAACTTTAGTCTGCTGCTTATCATTAGCATACACACTTATTAGAAAGGTGTAGTGTTAGTTAACTGAGAAATTAACTTAAACATCTTTCTTAAATTGCCTTCAGAGTATAACAAGGTAATAGAGAATTGCTTCTCTAAAATGCACGTTTGGTTTGTGAAAAACTGACAGTTGATGCCCATCTATGAATTTTGACCAGTGATGCCTGCTTAACTGTAGCTTCCTAAGCACTTATTCCTGATCTTCTGTCCTTACATATAAGTGTTCAGATGCATTGAAACTTCTGAGCCCAGTTTGAGTAGCCTTAATGTGTGTGACTCCTCAAGTAATGCATGCTAGCTGAGTACAGAAAAGGAACATCCTGGATTTTTTTAATCTGTCAAAACTGTATACTTTCAAGCTAGACTCTGTAATCTGTGTAATAACTAAGGATAGTATCTATAGCTAACTAGCCCTGTTCAATTCTCTTGGTTTCAGTGTTTCGGGACAGTTGGAGATGAAACACTAGACTTCTATGACATATTTTAGCTGTAGCTCAGGAAACGGCTCATTTTAGTTGTAGGCAGGTTTAGCCTCTGTACATCCTTAATAGCAATGTACTGAACATAAACATCTGTAAGTTGCTGATCTAAATTGGGAGTGAGTTCTGAAAAGCAGTACATGATAAACCCCTCAGAGGTAGCTATTCTGTATTCATGTTGACTTCCATAAGGTGGTGTTTTCACATATTAATTAAGAACATCTGATAATAGTTTCTTGGGTTTTTTTACTTACTGTTTGTATTTGGGGTGGGATTATTAGTGAAGTCCAGTTGTAAAATACTGTGATTCTTCCAGCTTGTCCTGTGACTCTTAGTTCTTAATCCAGTCGTGCTCTAGTTCTTGCAACCTGACTAGCTTTCTTCAGTGTAAGAGTGTTTTTTCTTCTGAGCCATGTCTCAGGTAACCAGCTTGAGTTTTCAGAAAAGCAGATGCCAGCTGCATTATAATGTCTGTACTTGCTATCTGCATTTCCAGTAAGAACATCTTCGTCAATTAAGATGCGCAGTTCAAGTTGCCTTATAAAACATATGAAGAAGTAGCATAATTAACCATGCAACTTCTTTTATATTTCCCTCACAGAACTCCTGACCTAGGGGGGATATTGCCAGATTCCTGTCTTGTCAAAGCCTGTCAGTGTTTTCATTAGGTTCTGCACACAAGATCGGATTTGGGAGCTAAGCTTAGTGCTGTAACTTTAGCACCTCTAAAGGAGTTTCCATGTGTCAGGTAGCTTTGCAGTGGTGATATGTTTAGGTAGGGAAACAGGTGTAGAGTGGAAAGCACAGTATTGCTTTTTAAATAGGCTATTCTGACCTTATTACTACACAGTGTCCATTTTCATTTTCCATCTTCAGATAGGAACCAGAAGGAAGTATTAGAATTAACTGGGATCTCTGAAGGTCCTTTCCTGTTTGAAAAGCCATTGCAGTGTTGAAGATCCTGCTGCTGAACTGACCAGCTGATGAGTACTCAGCTTCTGAATCAGCTGATGAGTAAAGCTGTCCACTTCCACAAGAATCCCCACTTTAAGTATTCTCATTGCTTCCCTGCAAAGCTTTTTCATACTAACATGCTAGCTTTCCAAGAGATAAGCAGCTTCTACTTTAACACATTTGTTCACTTTGAGATAAGCTGTGAACTCTGGCATGTAAGGCATTCTTATGTCTGAATACTTTATATTATTCCCAGATATATGCATTTCTAATCAAGTATTAAGGTTTACTTACCTTTAGCAAAATAATTGCTATTGTTATCCTTTTTGGGAGGGAGGGTGTGAACTTCTTTGAAGTCTCCAGCTTTAGTTTCAGATCCCTAGGGGAAAGGACACTGGATGGGACCTCAGTCTCCTGTTTTATTCTTCCCTAAGTTAAGTTCTCCTATGACTAAACTTAAACAAAAAACAGCCTTATACAAGCTTAAAGATCTTCATCTATTTGAGGTAGGAGTTATGCAATGTAAGCACTTATGCAGTTAACTTGTGAAATTAGTGAATAATGGGAGGGGTAGCAGGAAATGCGTCTGAAGTGTCATGCAATAATAATAATGAACAGCTGCAGTGTTATAGCTAAGTAGGGCTGTGACTGCTGGAGTGTTTTTCAGATGGGCTAGGTAGGTACATGAAAAAGAGCTTAGCTTCTTGGCCCTTGGTACTATGCTGTTTTTACATGTTGCCATAATCAACTTTCTAGAATTAGAAGAAAAAGCTGAACTCTAAGATTGTTCCTTCTAAGTCTATTGCCTATCTATTAGCTTTAGTTTGGAGTAGCTCAGGCATGGCAGAAGTGTATAGAAGGGAGACAGTGTCACCTGGCCACTGACTGTCTTCAGCCTTTGAAGATCAGTAAGAAGCTCTCACTGGTGAGCAAGACAGCAAGCTGCTAAAGATCTATCTAGCTTCCCTTATCTAGGGAAGACTTTCTTGTATGTCGAACTGTAGTATTAGGGCTACAGAACTTCATTCCTTGAAAAGTTGAGACCTTCTGCAGACAACTGTTTGTGTGTCAGGTTCCAGAGACTGGAAGAACAAGGTCATCTTGGTTGGTGGGGATAAGACTAGTTGAACAACAGTGACTGGGAATTTCAGGTATAGGCAGTAAAAGTGGGCATCTAGTGATCTCCTTCAGTGTTGCCTAGTCTGACCCTGGGTTGGGTCGTGCTGTCTACTTGGTACTAGCGAAAAAAAGATGTTTTTTCTTGATCATCTAACCAGAAAGATGTGTAAGAGCCAGTTAATCTTTCTTAGGCTTTTATTACATTTCATTACCATTTGGTTTTTGATTAGCATGTAGTGATACCAGTTTGGCCTCTTGGATGATAGCAATCTTTTTGAGGTTTTGGTGTTAATGGGCCTCTGCTGTGCTTGACTGCAACTCCATATAGTTGAGTTAGCACTGTAGTAAGTATGGATAAAGTAGTGTTCTGCGTAAAATTGAATTTGTCAAGACAAAAGAAGAGCGAGTCAGTTATAACAGCAGTGTTAAGGCTTAGTGTCTGTTAGGAAAAATGCAGATTGTTTTGAATATGACTTCCTCACAAAGTCTTTGAAAGCTAGCTGGTAGAAAAACAGCTCTTGCTTAGTTGGTCCTACTCTAGGTGCTGCAAGACCAGTCTGTCCTTTTTGGGCTTTTAGTAATGAACTTATCCTCGGGAGCTTCGTGTCACATGCAGTATGCATTCAATTTAAAAACAGATACCTTAGGACTTAGAATTAAAACAAATGTTCTGGTGGATTTGACAAAACCTGACTTAATTTGCTGTTCATACAGGTACAAATGGATTTCCTGATCCGGATTTAGTCTTGAAGTTTGGTCCTGTGGACAGCACATTAGGATTCCTTCCCTGGCACATCAGACTTACAGAGATCATGTGAGTTGCCTGTTAAATATTATTTTCATCTGTTTAGTATTACTAAGACTTCTAGCTTATTTAAATGTGGTTTACCTTATAGCCTTAAGAGGAACCGTCTCTAAACAAAGATGTCCTGAAATTAGTTTAAGGGCATCTAAAATGTTAAGTGAAAACCTGGCAAGTGTTTAGGCCTTATTGCTGCTTCCAGCCATGATTAGGTAACAACAAGCTTTAATCCTCAGATTTAAGGAATAACATTTTCTGTCACCGTTTGTTCTTGCTGAGCAGATCCCAGGTCTGATGTTTCCTATATGGAAACTTGCAAGCAGTTCAAAATCCAGGAGTGAAACTTGTAAGGATGTAATAAAATGGAAGTAGGACAGTATAAGATGGTTATGCTGCTGGATTACTTTCAAGCTTTGGCAGTAACTAAACTGACTACTTTCTGAACGAAAGTCTAAGGGCACTTACAGGGCACTTGGAGAAGCACAGGTCTACCCAGATGAGTTCTTAACTTCCTCACTGACTTTGTGCCCTATGCACCTGAATTACTGGACCTTGGTTTAGAGGGTGACAAAAGATGCTGATGGCTAGTTTAGTCACTGTGGAGTTGCATTATGATAACACTTGTCTTGGTAACCTCCTAAGCTATTTTTCAAGACAGTAGCTTGCTTTGTGTAGTGATGTTCCTGACTGGCCATACCAATTGTATGGTACTCGTAAAAACTACTTATTTAAACTTCTAACTTGTTTTCTCAGTTCTCTGCCTTCCCACCTGAACATCAGCTATGAAGACTTTTTCTCTGCTCTCCGTCACTATGCAGCCTGTGAGCAACGCTGGGGAAAGTGACTTTTGGCTGAGCACACTAAGTCAGGCTTTCTGTGGAAAGGAATTGATGTCTGTGTTTACAAGCACCTGTGACCCATAAGTCTGGTTCATAGTCCTTTCTTAATTTATCAACAATTTCAATAAAGTGTCTTACCTTTCTAGAGAGTCTGTGTGAGTGTGTGAGAATGTTTACGGGGAGGGAGAAGTTCATGGGTTTGCTCCGTGCAAAAGACAGTTATTGCAAGCCAAGCTGTTCAAGCTTAATTACCCCACTTTTGTGTCTTGGTGACCAAAAGAGCATGTTAGAACTCAGTCTTGTCAAATCTCCAGGGCAGTGTAAATGGGCTTTCCATGCCCTGAAGGGACTTCTCAAATGCGAGGAAGAACTCTTATGCCTCTCAGTTCCTGTTATTAATTCCTCGCCATCAGGCATTTCAGAGCTAATGGCCAAATTCTCTGCAGATATGTTGACTACTGTAATGTATGAATTTAATGGGTCAGTATCTTCTCTAGTAGCCATGAGACTAGAGACTGCTACATCTGTGTCAGAACTAAGCCAGCGATGTAGATATCAAGTTCCAGAAATATTGAAGAGACCCAATAAAAGGGATTGGAAGCTTCTGTGGTAAGTGCATTAACCAGTCTGTCTAGAAATAGCCCTTTTCTGAGGCTTAAAGGTATTTCTGTAGCCCTTGGTGAAACTTTTCCTAGCATCAGTGAGGTCCCTTTTCTATAGGGAATAAGCATAAACAGTGCTATGTATCGACTGTATACTTCTGCGTAAAATTCTAACCTAATGTGATAAGCTGTCTAAGTTTTTGGCATTCTTTCTGGAAAAAATCTGAAAGCGGACTAGGTCCGCCTCTATAACAAATGTGACTTGCTTATTGTGCTTGTGTACCCAGCAGGGGAGTCTGCTTAAGCCTTTTGTTAGGATTGTTCTGAACTGTGCATTCAAAGGTTGAGTTGAAGTCTGCAATACACAGGAAAGAATAAGTGAATTGCACTGCACTATCTCAAAACTGACATAGTGAAGTAGATCTGTTGACTAAATAGCCTTCATGGTAGAATGTTCTAGTCATACTGTTGATGTTGAAAGTAATCTGAAATTAGTAGTCTAGCATTTGGGCAAAGCAATAGCTTTAGAAGTGTGTTTCTGGAGACAAACACTAATATTTCAGCCTTCTGCCCTGGAGGCTGTAGAACTCCTGGATGCTTTATTCTAGAAGTGTTTAATTTTTCTGATTAGAATGAGTCTGACTTCATCTCCTTTAGGATAAGAAACTGGCATGGCACTAGGAAGAACGTGTTCTGCTTTTAAAAGGGAATTTCCAAATTGCAAATGAATGTCTGCTTCTTAGTGAAATAGTATATTTTACCTGTCATAACTTCATGTCCTGTTATAAAGCAAATTGCATAAACTTGTGAGCTGCAGTATTCTTATTGTCATACTGAGATCAGATTGCAGATAAGGAAGAGAACTATGATCTGGTTGATCCGTGGAAGATAAAAGACACTTAATCAGGTTGATCACTTTTATTTGATGTCAGAAACATCAGCTAGCCTTCTGGAGGAGCTGGAAGGCTTAGTATATTTGCCTGCCTTCTGGAGGCTGGCTTCTGATGTACCTCACTTATTGTATGTTTAATGTTCACTTTATGCTAAATCATATGCAATGTTTCCTGGCCCCCAACCATAAAAAGTTTTCTTGCTGAATGTTAAACTTAACTTTTTTTTGTGGAGAGTAGATAGTCTCTTGGAGGGGAGCTTGAGTATTGAAGTATATCTGTATTGTGCATTTATCAAAGTGAATTTTTACATAAATTACCATGTATATCTGCGACTGTGCTGCCGAAGCAGTTCTGGTAGTAACTAGAAATAAAGTGAGGAAGAAGTTAGTTTAGTCTTCAGAAGTAATCTCTTACTTGCATCAATCTACCAAAGAACATTTAGATTACCTGAGCTGCCCTTGGTCCTCGGGCTTCTACATATCTCAGCTAAAATGACTTGTTTTATATTGGAGACAGATCTGAAGATCTAAGATTTGTCTGTAGAGGGATGCTTAATGAAACTAAAATGATTAGTTCAGCTGCATTTGATTCAACTTGGTCAAATCTCTTCTGATGGCTAATTTAATTGTGAATAAGTGCCCCTCCTGGAATTAATGTGGTTGAACTAATCTACATTATCACTTAGTTGGGATTATTTTTACTGTCCCTGCGTGGGCAATCTTTAGTGAGCTGTGCCAAATGCACTGTGCATATCCACAACTTGATCTTTGAATGTATGTCAATGCAGTTAACTCCTCTCCCCAGCTTGTTCTGTGTGAAGGTATGTGGTATAGCTGTGATGCTCTGTATGGCTGTAGTCTCTGGGTACTTGTACATAATGTGTAAAACAAGTTTTTATGATTAGGGAGTCAATTTATTGAACTTTATTATTGAAAATCATCTGTAAAAAAACTAATAAAAGACTATAATCTTTCTACAGGCTATGGTGGTATATGAACGCTTACACTTACAGCACTATCAGAAAGCAGAGAACTTTAAATCTCAGGATGTTTTACACTATTTAAGAATTGTACAACTCATTTACTGTTAATAACTGGAAACTTCTATATCCACCACTCCCAACTTCTTAGCTCTTATGAAAGCTTCTGTCATAAAGCTTTTACAGGAAAACACTCCTTTGATATTCTTGAACTTGCTGAACTTGCTTCCTCTCAGTCCTCCTGAGTCAATCTTGAACTACCACTTGCGTTTCCAAGTCTCTTCACTTTGGAGCAGGGTTACATGAGTGTGGAGGGAAGCTCAACAACACCAGTGATGCCTGGAAGTGGGTGTTGAGCATGATTTATGAAAGGGGAAGCTAATAAGCCCTAGGGTGATCCTCATGACAGCAGGATCAACTGTGAGCCACCTGTGTTGCCTTGCAGCAAGGAAGGCCAGTATCACCCTTGACTGCATTTGTGTGTTGCCCACAGGTGGAAAGAAATGGTTCTTCCCCTCTAGTTAGCACTGGTGAGACCATAGCTGGAATGCTGTGTCCAGTGTTGGGCTCCTCACTCTCAAACAGGGACCTGCTGGAGCAAGTCCAGCAAAGGGCCACAGAGATTAAGGGGTTAGAGCCCCTCTCATAAGAGGGGAGATTGAGAGAGTTAGGAATGTTTAGTCTGGAGAAGAGAAGGCTCACAGGGATCTGGTCAATGTATTTAAATATTTGAAGAGAGATTATAAAGCAGAGACAGCCAGACTGAGACTGAGAGGCAGTGGGCACAAACTGGAATCCAGGAAAGCTCTTTTTTTCCTCTCTTTTTTTCTTTTTACTGAAGCAGCTTGCCTAGAGAGGTTGTGGAGTCTTCATCCTTCAAAACCCAACTGGACACAGGTCTGAGCAACCTGCTGTAGGTGATCCGGTGACCCTGCTTTGAGCAGAGTTTGGACTAATGCTCTCCAGACACCCTTTCCAAGTCAGTTCTGTGAAATGGAAAACCTGAAGCAATACTTATGGGGGTACTTAAATCTAGTAGTACTTGACTCAATGCAGGAAGCTCAGTAGGTATAAGATGAATGAGAGCAGACACAAGCTATTTTAGAGAAGAGGTCTTGTATCAAACAGTCTACAGTGGCTGGAGTTCAGTGTATTCCATATTCATTTTAATTGCATGTATTGGTAATCTAGAGGCAAATGATAGCAGATAGCAGAACAGGGCTGGTTGGCACACTCCATTTATAATAGTGAAAGAGTATGCTGGGTGCTGACAATAGTGAGTTTCCAGTAAGCTTACAAATTAACGCTTAGATCTCAAAATCCCCACTGGTGACAGGAAAACTATATTCTTTATTCACCTGTTACTCTCCTGTGAGAGATTTTTCTATGCTGTCTGTTACCACATCCTTGAATTTTTTTCTTTCCCTTCCTTACTGGGTGCTGTTGATACTCTTCATTTTATTAGATATGCAAGCTCCTGTTAAGGAAACTGATATTATTGAAGGTAACTGTTCTGCAAACTGTAGATTTAAAAAAGAAAAAAAAAAAATCTGTTGCTGTGTGATTCAGCAGACAGTGGATGTGGAGGAACTCATATGGTTTTCTACAGAATTGGCTTATGCCCAGAATTAGGCCTATAGAATTGGCTTCATGCTTGCCAGAATTAAGCTGGCTCTTGGAAAGCTCCTTGGGTGTCTCTCTGGTGCATTTTGAGTTGTAGGAGTTGTTGTCCTGGTTGCACAGGTACAAGCTGCCTATGGAGGTTAGTAGTAGCTTCCAAACCGGAGCTAGCTCCAGAACTATGGCAGCATTAGTATGATGCTACTGTGCCCTCAAATCTCTACTGTTTTTAAAAGAGCTGATGCTAGTGGCTCTCTGTCTATGACAAAGTTAATTCATAATTTCAATACCAAAGAATATTAGAGCTGACTGTGGTGGAAAATTCATCTTAATTTGCCCTAATCCATAAATCATAGCCTATGCTCATGGTAACTATGGTGCTCTTGAATGATTCAAGTTTCTTCATTTTTCCTCCTTTTTCCCCCCTTCTGATGGTGCAAACTTGTTGACATCTAGTAAAGTAGCTGGATGAGATTCTGAAATTGTTACTTTGCAGCAGCAGATTCTGGGACATGTTCAGTACTAATCTGTTAAGGGAAATAGGTCTATAAAGCAGTTCTTGAAATTACAGTGATTTTTAGGACTAGTTGTTACCAGCATGCATTGACCAACCATACAACATAGCATGTTGCATCAGTTGAAGACTGATAAGCAAGTAGCATGTAAATTAGAGGTCATCTTTTCTTTTTAGAGGGCAGTATACCTTACCTATTTATATTTGTAAGTGCCTTCTAAAATACTTTACAAGAAAAAAAAAATAACCTGCTGATTGGATTTCCCTAATGCTTCATGTATTCAGCTTGCATGTGCAATCATAACTGCTCTGAATAGTCCCAAGCATTTTATTACATAAGCTCTTGTTGTTTTACTTAAGTTGTTGTTGTTTTTAAGCATAAATTAAACAGTTTTTTTTGCCCTTACAGTGGAATTAATGTTGCTGCACTACTAATCACATTTATTTGTTGTCATTGAAAGGTAGGTATACATATAAAAACTCAAGAGTATGTGCAGATAGTTCTAGTCTCCGTCTGCTGCTGCAGATGCCCCAGCTGTGCCGCTGCTGAAGTCGGGGAGCTGGAGGTAGGCTTTAGCCCACTGTGCTGGCCAGGCTGTGCCTTGCAGCCACCACCTTGGTCAGGGGGGTGCTGGGGACCTGGGTCTGGGCACACTGCTGCAGGTGCCGGCTCCCACACTGCCATCCCTTCTTGGGCTCTGCAATGCTCGGTTCTCCGGGCACCTTCATGGGAAGAGGCTTTCATCACTGCACTGGAGCATTTAATGCAAGAGCAGCAGCTTCAGCTCAAGAGCTAGGCATGAACTGGAGACTGAGGTTAAAACCTAGCTCATGCTGTGCAAAATTTTCCAGCTAATATAGCTGTGTAGGTTACCATTTGTCTATTTTTCACCCCAATATGAATGGCTATATACAGCTTCTAGCTGTGTGCTAGGAGCTAAGTTACTTTGATAAGCTTGCAATGTGAAAGCAAATGAATCAAAGGCCACACTTTAAACCTATACACACCTTTTTTTCCTCAGATCTACCAAATTAAAAAAAGTGAGACTTGCAAGCACTTCCTCTGCTATATGTTCGTCTTTGTTAAATGATGCAAGACCTCATCAAATTGTGTTGAATCAATCTGCTGAGAGCCTTAGGATTATTTTTTTAATTGCATCCAGACCAACTTTTTTAGATGATGGATAGCTATGTGAGATATAGAAGCATGCCCCAACCTTAACTTTGAAGCTCTTCATAAATTAATGTTTAATGAAACTGTTTGCCTTCAGGTTTTTTCCTATACTAACAGGCTGAATACCAACACAAGCTGTGGCTGTTTCATCTCCCTGACAAGCCTTGCTGCTTTAATATAGCATATATTTTCCTACTGGGTGAAGCCAGCCAGTTTTCAGTACTATTGTTTTCTGTGCATATGGAAAAAATGGCCTGAAAAATAGCTCTCCTGCCTATCCACCCTCTCCCCTCCCTCCCAAAAAAACCACATAGACGCCTGTAATGGTTTGATCAATTAGAGAATGCATTTTTATGGGAATGGTTAAAGGAACTAAATGCATGAGTAGTACGACAGTTTTATAATAGTATTCACATTGTAAATATTGCAAAATCGGTGGCTGGTAAACTGAAACGAAACATTTTTTTCACTCCTTGCCTGAAGGTTGTTACTGTAATTTTAACAGAAAGCTTCTCTATGAGTCACCTGTCAAAGTCAAAAGCTTCCCTTTGGACATTCATATTCTATAATTCTACAAAAGTTCCCACCTTGTTTGGCAGGCTACCTCGTATTTTTTTGAGAACACAAAGGTAAAGCCTGGTGCCTGAAAATGTCATTTTAAATCGGGCCCACTCTTTAAATCTGGTACTATAAGGACATTTTGTTTTGACTTCATGAGTCATTCAGCAATTTATAGTATTTAGGGTTGAATTCCAAATAAAATCTCATGTTTCTGATGTGATTGAGCAGTCACCCTGTTGGAGTCAGTTAGGATTCCAGGAGGACATATGGACGTTAAAGAAACAACAGGCTTTTATACAGAATTAAGTACTCTGCTGGCCTCAGTTCTTGGTAGCTTGGTGGCACTGAATGAAAGTGGAGATAGACAAATGAGGAGCACTCTGCGAAGTTCTCAGAGTTAAAAATCATAAAAAAAAGTTACTTGGAAGGGATGCCTGGCCATCACTCTATCCAGCCTCCTACTCAAAGCGAGGCTAACTTAAAAGTCAGATCAGGTTACTCAGGGCCTTCCCCTGCTTTAAAGCTTTAAAAAGAGCGCTTTTCCTGAAGCACTTTACATTATCCCAATGGGAAAACTCAAGCAGAGAGGTGTGGGGGAGGCTGAATGTCACACTACAGGTAAATGGCAAAGTATGGGAAGCATCCAAGTTCTCTGAGTCCTTTCCCAGTGCAGTATCTCACTTGCAAAGCTAAATCGTTTTAATTCAGTACATAGAGCAGGTAACTTTCTGGTGTGAAAGAAAAGGCGAATTGTTCTTTGGGTCTGGTAATTAATGCAGAATTTGAGGTAGAGGATCCGTGAGAGGACAGGAGACAACGAGAGGACTCGACTCCTCTAAGCAGCAAATTACAGGTAACTACTAAGCACTCTGTCTCCCACCACCAGGAAAAGGAAAGTTTCAGAGAAAAGTCTGAGTACTTTGCCATGAACACTGTCAGATCAAGGCTGTGACAGAATTTTGGGGTTAGAGAGGAAGTGTTGAGTTATGGAGTCAGGAACCTACCCCAGAGAAGCCGTTGACAGAAACCTGTCTCATTTCAGTAGGGGAGACTGCTGGTCTGAATTTTTTTTAGAATAAAAACCTGGGATTTCGCAGATGTAACTTGCAAATTTTATGAATACTG